GTCCACTGGAGGCCAAATCCGTCCATGTGAAGGACCTATGAAGATGGAGCGGTCCACTAGAGGCCAAATCCGTCCATGTGAAGGACTTAAGAAGATGGAGCGGTCCACTGGAGGTCAAATCTATCCACTTTTGGGACCTCTAAAGCTGGAGCGGTCCTCTTGAGGATAGATCCATCCATGGCTTGCTAAAGAGGACCGCGTAGAGGACCACGGAGAGGACCGTCGGAAAGGACCGTGGAGAGGACCGCGGGAGAGGACCGCGGAGAGGAGCATCGGAAAGGACCGCGGAGAGGACTGCCGGAGAGGACCACGAAAAGGACCGCCGGAGAGGACCGCGGAAAGGACCGCCGAAGAGGACCACGAAAAGGACCGCCGGAGAGGACCGCGGAGAGGACCGCCGGAGGGGACTTCCGAAAAGGATCACGGAGAGGATCGCGGAAAGGACCGCCGGAGAGGACCGCGGAGAGGGGCCCGCCACTTCCGTCCATGGTTCGGCAGAGGAAATCGGAGCTCGCTGGATCTCGTCGAAGATAAAGGCCCGCTTGTTGTCGATGAGGCTCGCCGGAGCAAAGGGAGCTTGATGGACGAACAAGAGCAATCGCGGCCGCTGCCATCCGCGGCTCGCAGGAAAAAGTCGGAGCTCGTCGTAAGGCCGTCGCTGCTACCCGTGGCTCGCCGGAGGAAGTGGGAGCTTGCTTCTTCCGGGCCAAGGTTCGCCGGAGTGGACAATTGCTAGTGGTATGGCTCGCCGCTGGATACCGACAGAGATGAAGCGCGCTAGAGGGCTCGCCGGTCTGGGAGGATACTCACCGACCCTAATGGAGGGTACTGCCGGCGTCCCCCTACCGCGTGCTCGCTGCTCTCCGAAAAGATCCCCGCGGTCCGCGGCTCGACGGCGGAGGGAGGAGTTGCCGGAGCTAGAGGAGTCGCTTGTCTACTGGACAGCCATGTTGGCCACGGTCGCCAAGGGCTCGTCGAAGCTTGTCGCTGGTTATGACTCTGCCAGATCTCCAAGCGGTCACGGATCTAAGCTCGCCAGAGAGAGGCTCGCCAAGGGCTCGCTGGAGAGGACCGGGAGTGGCTCGCCGGAGGAAGGAGGTATTCAACAGAGGCCTGCCGATGTCTGTGGCTCGCCCTAGAAGGAGCTCACTGCCCAGATCTTTTGATGCGACTTTCCGATTTGAGAAGAAAAGGAAATGGCCTCTCTCACCTGTTAGCCTTGGTTTGCTAAGCCTCATGTTTTGCTGTTAACAAACAATATAAGAGCTTAACGTTTGTTTAAGTGTTTCAGGAAAACAAGAATCCATTAAGATTCGGTACTCAAGAATGAAGTCGAAACACTAAACTAGCGTAGAATATAGGTTGAAACCAATGTAAGGATATGATTTTATATACCTATATTCACAAGCTCATAAGCACTCACAAAATATGTTTAAAACCATCCCATAAACATTTTCAAATATCTAAAAGGTTTTAAACTCAAACACGAAGGATTTAGGGAATTTTGGAAAACGCAGGACAGTGGTACGGTACCCCAAACGGTACCCCATACCGTCGACACGGTACCCTATACCGCCGGCACGGTACCTCTGTACCGTTAGAGGACAGGTACCGCCAGAGCCGGATTGGTTTGCTGTATTACACGGTACCGAGGTACCGCCACTCACGGTACCCCCTACCGTACGCACGGTACCTTGCTGCCGTGAGGATGGTACCGGCCTACCGTGACCGTTGGGTTACTGTTCCTGATTTGAGATTTTGAATTTAATCAACCCTAATCACCTCCCAACGGCTAATTAACATATTCCACTATAAATACAAGCCTAATCCTTCATATTTCTAAAAGAAACAAAGCTCTAAACATCCTCCCTTTATATTCTAAGTGTGTTCATTCTTTTATTAATTATTTTCAATATTTTGGCTATTTCAAGAGCCTTAAATTCCTGATTTTTATACACATACTTTGAGCTTGTGTTTCTAGTTATATACTCTCATATTCATAAGTTTGAATTGTATTTTTGAGAGAGTATACTTTCTTTCTACACCGGCTAAGTTTTGTTCTTCATTTTAATATTCTAGCCGTTGTGTAGAATCTACTTTTGTGTTCTTCAAACACATCTTCTTACGGTCGAGAATAGCCGTTAAATTCTCACGTTGTAACGGTCAAGGATAGCCGTATAAATCCTTGGGTAAAGGTTCAAGGATAGCCTTTGAAATCCTTGGGGGAACAGTAGAAGATAGCCGTTAAATCTTCATTCTAAACGGTTCGAGATAGCCGTTGTGAAATCTCGGAGTGAATCCTATTGGCAAGGGTTGTTTGCCAAAACTAGTGCGGTGTTTTGACGGAGTTCAAGAGGCCGAGACTTAGTGGATTCGGAAATCCTTGAGGAGGAGCCTCGAGGTACTGGAGTAGGGGTTTCCCGAACCAGTATAAATTCGGTGTGCATTTTATTTACGCTTTTATTTTTGCGTTTTATTTATTGCTTCCGCATTTGCTAACACCGTTTTTATTAAACTCCGAAAAGTTTTTAAACGCTTTATTCACCCCCCTCTAAGGCGTGGGCACAACGACTAAACCAAATAACATCATCCTCCTTTATTGTGACTTTTCTCCCCCACCTCTCTCCGTCTCTCTCCCTTTTTCCATTTAATTTTTTTACCTTCTCTCTCATTTTTTCCTCCATTACGGACTCGGAGCACAAAAGCTTTTTGTGACCGGTCCCACGGGTGGCGCTAGTGATGGAAACTGTTTTTTCGGGGCGTCGACCCGATGAAATCGGTACCGGGTCGGCACCGCACCGAATAGCAAAATCCGGAAATTAAATAAATAAATAAACGGAGAGAAAGTATTTATACGTGGAAACCCAAATCGGGAGAAAACCACGGGCCTTTTTAGGTTGTGCCATGCCAAAGGGGGAAGAACTTTTATTAATCTCGGGGCAATTTACATATACATCACTGTAGGAGCTAGGAGCCATTAATGGAGCTCCATGCTCAGAGAAGAAGAAGAATGAAGAATAATAGTAGAACTAGTAGGAAATTGGCCCCCCCCCCCTCCCTCCTTCGTAACCTGCATTTAAAGGGGCGAAGGAAATAGTTGATGGAGACAAGAGGAGACATTGTCCATGTGAAGCCCATGTGCGGCTTGTGGTTTCCATGTGAGAGTGTTCCACGGGTCCCGCCAAATGTCTCCACATCACTTCAAATATATTCTTCTGTCCATATATCTCTGGTTCTGTCTTAAATAATTTATCTGATTTATATCTTGGGCCAGATAAAATTGGGCTTTCTTGTACTGTTCAAATAATATTGGATTAGGAAAAATCCCTAATCCATCAACACTTACACTATGTTTGTTTGGAGGTAGGGGGAGGTAGATTTAATTTTCTACCTTGTTTGGTAATAAAATTTGAGATAGGTAAAGAGAGGTAGGGGGAGGTAGGGTTACCTCTGAACAATGTAATTTCTATGACCGCCAAATCGGCGAAATATAGAGGTAATCAATTTTATTTTCCGCTGCTATCCTTCATACCCAAATCGCCGTATCCATAGAAAACCAATCGCCATCTTCATATTGCCATCGTCGTCTTCTGATAGCCATCTCCAACCAGGTATTCCGATTTTTTCTGCTCTGCTTTGCTGTGCGTACACTATGTATTTCTGCTCTGCTATGCGTTGGCCATATTTGTTCTGCACAATACCATACTTCCTTCAATTTTGCTTAAATCACTTTTACAATTAAAAACAAAATTGTAGGAAGAAAAAAAAGTGAAGTCAAATTGAGGTTCAACCGAATAATTGCCCAGATTTCCACAATACCATGCTTCCTTCATACCAGATTTAGTTTTTTTTGTGTCCTTTTTTAAATTTTCATTTCACACTTTTTTTCTGTTTTTTTTGTGGTTTTTTATGTTCTTTTTTTTGGGTTTTTTTCTGGTAATTTTTTCTGTTTTTTCTACAATTTTGCATTTTTGAGTCCATCTGTTGTAACACACCACATTTTTGAGTCCATCTGCATTTTTGGCTTTACCTTCAATTACATTATTAATGGCTTCTGTAGTGAAGGAAATGCAGAGAAGGCACTAGAATTACAACTCTGTATACAATTCTCATTACAATGTTTTGCAGAAAGGTTTTGCACGAGTAAAATCATTTCACTCTTTTTTTTGTTTTTTTGTGTGATTTTTTTCTGTTCTTTTTTGTGCTTTTTTATGGTATTTTTATGTTTTTTTCTACACTTGTGCATTTTTGAGTACTTTGTTTTTGTAGTTTAGTTATTGTACTTCATTTTCTGCAGTTTTGTTATTGTACTCTATTTTTTTGCAATTATATAGACTTGTATGTACTAGTAATTTTAGTTCTTACAGATTAACGTGAATTATGCTAAAGTTTTAGGTTCTGATTTGTGGCATCAATGGATGATGATATGCTTGATTATAGCTACTTAAATCATATGACAGCTTTGTTTTCGGTATTCATATTACTACAAGTATGGTATTTACGCACTAGAAGAGATCGAGTAAGAATTATGGATGAATCAATTTCCTTAGAATCAAAGGATTTGAAAAATGTTGTGCGAGAGGTGTTAACGAATAGACTTATATGTCGAGATATGATACGAATGGGGCCAGATGCGTTTTTGAACTTATGTGGTCTATTAGTGTGTCATGGTGGATTAAAAGCAACGAAGTGGATGAGTATTGAAGAACAAGTTGCTCTTTTCTTGTACATACTTGGCCACCATGTCACTAATAGGCAAGTGTGGCGATTGTTTGCTCGTTCAGGAGAAGTTATATGGAGACATTTTCACAATGTTCTGAATGCTGTAATTAAGTTAGAAGCATTGTTTCTAACCCAACCAGATGGCACACAAATCCCTTCAGAGATATTTAGCAATTCCAAGTTCTTCCCCTATTTCAAGGTGACATTACATAAACACAAATTCACACACTCTTTTAAAATTTGCAAACTACATCTAAAGTTATTATGTCCATAGGATTGTGTGGGAGCTATTGATGGAACTCATGTGCGGGCAAAAGTGCATGTGGCCGATACACCTAGATTTCGTGGTAGAAAAGACTTTCCAACTCAAAATGTTCTAGGTGCTTGCACATTTGATCTAAGCTTTACGTACATACTACCGGGTTGGGAGGGGTCACTATCTGATGCTAGAATGTTGAGAGATGCATTGCACCGTGCATACCCTTTAAAAATTCTACAAGGTATGTATTGATTTTTTACTATTAAAAGTATGAAGTATTTTAAGATAACACATTCTTTTTCTATTTGTATAGGTAAGTTTTATTTAGGTGATGCCGGATTCCCTTTATCTCAAGGTGTTATCACACCTTTTAGAGGGGTAAGGTATCACTTAAAAGAATATGACGTTAACCCACCAACAAATATGAGAGAATTATTTAACTTGCGTCATGCGTCACTGCGAAATGTGGTGGAGAGGGCATTTGGTGTGATCAAGAAACGTTTCCCAATTATGAAAAGTGCCGATGAGCCGAATTTTAAAGTAAAGACGCAAAAGAAAATAATAGTGGCTTGCTCAATTTTGCACAACTATTTGTTACGTGGAGATCCTGATGAGGCTAGGGACGAAGACACGGATGAAGACGAAGATGACAACCTTGACAGGAACGAGAACACGATACCTCACGCTCGTAGTGGGAACACAAGGATGGTAGAAGAATTACGTGATTTCATTGCAAAGGCCATGTGGGATGATTACATTACTCATACATAGCTTTTGTAAAACTTTTCTTTGTTATGATTGACTTAAACTAAGTGATGAAGAATTTCTTACGAAATCAGTGACTTTAATTTCGGATGCAATGAAAACATGTACTTCTGAGTATTTGAAAGAAAAGAATCCACTACCCCCAGCAGATATATGGAACCTTGTTGGATCGCTGAATTTCGAGGGAAGTCGTAAGAGTCATGCGTACATGTTCCTTTTGGAGAAACCTGTGACTGTGAAAGCAATTCTTGGATTACCGGAGGAAGTACGCGAAAGTTTTCTCAATGATGTTCTGAACAAGGAAGGAATCTGAAGTGGTCACTATTTTATTTATCATAAGACTTGTGTCTAAATATGTCGTTTTTTTTGTGAACATATGTTACATTTGAAGTCATTGTCCATGTTTTTTGATGTGTGGAAGAACAATGTGTTTGATGTTTTTATTATGAAATGTATGACATCTAAATTTTGATTAGTTGCACTTATATAAGATGATGTTACTTAGAAATTTCGTCTTAGAATGTTATCTTAATTTTAAAATTTTACATTTAAAATTTAAATAAATTCTAATAAAATAAATAAATAAAATGGTTAGAAGTGATGTAAAAATAATTTTGTATATATATTT